GTAACTACACTTATTACCAAATTAGTAGATAAATATACATATATATGAAGCATTTAATGCATGTATTTCGATATATGCATTATATTATTCTTTTTTTTATTCTTTACTAGCTTTTACCCGCGACTTTGTCCGCGTGACCAGGATAGGTTTACTGACCAGGATAATAAGCTGCCTATATCCTTTTCCATTCCTTATAGTGCATGTACACCAAATTTCATAGTGATTAATTAAGCAGTTAAGGTGCTATAAGGTAACGAACACATTTTCAAATTTATAATATTGGTTTGGATTGTACATGAAATAAAAAATGAAATAAGATACATAGTTATCTACTTATTTTGCTCCCGCGTTGATTTTATATTAATTTTGTTACGATAGAAAAAGTTATTTTTTTGTGTTCTTATTTTTTTATTTTATTATTAAATTTATTTATTAAATTATTTATTAATTTAATTAAATTGTTAAATTATATCGTAATTTTAACATTAGTCTATCTTCTATTATACGATTGGAAAGTACTTTAATTTTAAAACGTGTCCACACGCCTATGGTACAAATGGAATGTTCGTTAAGAGGTGATACAAAAATTTGAATGAGGACTCCACCCTTTTTAAATTTACCACAGCAGTCACGTCGGTGTCAAAGCTGTACAAGCCTATAACGATCCCGAAAACAATACCAAAAGCTTCACCATTACAAGGCGACAAAACCTTAATATCAATAGAACACAATAGAAACAATAGTTGCCCTCTGTCAATTATGCCATCATTACCATTGGAATAAACGACGTAACGGATCAAATGATTGTCGAAAAACAACACGATGACAACGCAATGCATCCACGGCCGCTTATCAGAGGAATACAACCAAAACTAAATCTTGGGTGTCAATAAATAACATTTCATATTCATTTGGAATCAAATCAGTGATCTTGCATTTTCGAAATGTCGAAACAGTTACTCTATAAATGATTTATAGACTGCGGTGCCGTTTAAATTTTTGTCACTTAACAATGTACAATGAATCTGAATAATTAAAATGTCGCACGCCTGTTAATGTTCTATATGAATATTTTAGAATATTATCAAAGGTGATTACTATGCGTTATGAAAGAGTAAAGAATCTAGTTCGAGTTGTTGCACCGGTTTATTACGTTCTAAATAGTAGACCATTTAAAGTATGCTTCTTTTATAATTATGTATCATACTTAAACAAAAATAAAATAACCATGTTACACTTTTTTATGTAATCTATACCAGTATAAATAAAAATTTGTTGTCCAATGTATCTAAGTGCTCACTTTAGCACCTATTTGGCTAATTATTTTTGTGTTGTGGTTGTAATTATCTGGATTTCTATAAAAGAAATTGTTTGAAAACATTAACCACAATTACTTAACCTATTAATGTAATATCGTTAGTTATATTCGCTAGTAGTCAGATATGCTCCCAGAATAATGCAAATTGGAGTTTAATACTTTAATATTATTTAATGTCGACTCACTATAACATTGATCTTTCTGTAACACCTATATGGTTATAGAACATATTCAATTGGTTATTACTTGTTCCTGATTATCTTATTATTTTAAATACTTCTTTATCTATTTGAATATACAAGTACTCTATTTAATATTAATATAATCTCCACATCATTTAACATATTCAGATCTCTATCGCGTGAATTGCAAATATATGTAAGTGCCATATTAATTAAATCCTTATTCTTTTGTACTATTGGTTGAATATCGCTTAGTGTAGTGGTAGAGTTGTATTTGCGATTATTTGATCCTCGCATTTGTCAAATATGATCGAGGTGTACGAAGGTGTTATTCGTTTTGTCGACACGCGATCGTGCGATAAGTCAGGTGTTTGCCACTTGCAATTTGATGGGAGGTCCGACTTTAGTTGTTTCTTTTTAGACTTCGCTTTTTGTCAGTCTTAACACTGTTTGAATCACTTTAGTCACGATGCTTATTTATTTGATTTATATATGTTTTCATGCATGATTTTATGTAACGATTATTTATTAAGAACATATATTCTTACCATATAAATGTATAACCAGAATTTTAATTATCAGTCAAGAATTTTGGAAATAATTTTTTGAATGTTTCTTTATCTACTCGTATTTGTAGTCAAAATAAAAATCGCCATGTGACTGCATTTTGTATCTACTGTTCCTAAATGCTTGCAAAACTGCAAAAATATCACAAATACATATATTTCTCACAGACTTATGTATATATCTGTGAACGACACGTGTAAGTAATGTTATGCTCATGTCTCGTTATATGGTTTTTGTCAGCAGGTAATCGAGGATTTATTAAACAGTATTGTTGTTTATTTTATTAACGATTTCTTCCTTTCGTGCGAATGTTCAGCGCATTTTTCATCGATGTTTAACATATGGATGTCATTCTGTGGAGACGCTTGAATAATAAATTTTTGCTTAAAGACCGATTATTAAAGGACGTAAGTAATTTAAAATACTGCTACGTTGACAACAATGCGGTTGTTTACTGTACTAATAGTATATATTATTACTGATCTTATTAAGATTTTTTAATTTATTTTAAATATTATTGAACAATAGAAATTCTGCTATTGTAAATATTTTATTACAGAAAAAGTATGAAAAATGTTGTCTTTAAGACAAAAAAATCTTCGTTTCATTGTAGGTGCATACCGGTGTATTCAGACTCGAGTTGTGATTGAGAGTTACGATTGTCATTAATACCGTAATGGACTCGATTTATGATCGCAGATCATCTCTGCGGTTTTATTGCCTCGATCGGCTTGTATTTAATTCTATATATATTTCGATTGCAGTGTTATTACAGAACGTCAATTTGTAATCCTTTTGCCGGTGTGTGGTAATGTTTTTTGTTCGTATCTTTACGTTTGGGGATGATTTGTTATTAGTTGGTCTTATTGTTTGTTTTGAACTAAGTAAATTATTAATCCTTGATAATGATTATGGACTATGTCATAATTATAACTTTTGTGCTTAGTTGTATAACTTGTATAAGGTAGTACCAACAAATCGGAAAGCTCGATTTTACTGGATCTTTTTTGTCTTTAGTTTTATGTAAAGGTTTACCTTTGTGTGCCACCACACGTTTTGCAACAATTTTCAATAAGCTTCTTTCTCCTGCCGTTTTTTTTTTTGTTCCGATGCCTAAAAGGTTAATTGAAAATCGCGGTAAAGGCGATTGTTTAAATTTAGGGGTTTGTTGTAATTTATTTCCATAATTTTTAGTATTCTCTTTTTGTAGTAATAGTGGTCTGCAAATAATTTAAATATTTATGTATCTCACTTGAATAAATCATCCAAATGTTTTGTACGCTTATTTTCATTGGGAGGAGGGGAGACTGAATTTAGATAGCAATTAATGTTTAATTGTTTACCCTAAAAATACTCTTGCAGACAAAGCAAGGAAGCAAAAGTTTCTAGTAGTAAAATTTTTGATTTTTAGATGTAGATACAATAATAAATAAAAAAGAACCGTTGTTTAATGAAACAAAAAGTAGAAAATATTTTTATCAGGATGCTTCTATCAGATTAAAAAGTCTTATTTTATCTAATTCGCCTTATCTTGTCTTTTGTAACTGTTAGGTGTGTTGAGTATTCAGAAATAAACATGAATACTAAATTTCAACATGATCCAATGTCGCGATGTGGTCGAAAAATTCCGTTAATCAAAGTCAACCACAGTGATACTTGCTTTTAATGATAAATAAAACCTTAAAAGTAATTCGTCGTTATGCAAATACCACTGTCATACTTTTATTACATGATATGATAATTATCAGGCATTCATTATGAATTCAATCGATTAATTAATTGCACTGATTCTCACTACTACCAAGAAAAAGATATTGGTATGCCAATTGGACAACTTTCTCATGTCACTGTTTAATTTTAATCGGTCATATAAAATGTTAATCAAAGACATGTCAAGTAGCAATGTTCAATATTTATGCACATTTCTCGGTACCGTAATTGTATGAATTTATTTAAATCGTCTCGCTTAATTTATTAAGGCCACCGACGAATCGAAATTGAAAATTAACCCCATTTAGACACACCTCCTGGCGCTCCATAATCTTTTATGTTATCTTTTTACATCTTGTCAACACCGTCGATAAATTATGACCAATCTAACAACCTATTATTATGAGACCTGACATTTTATTTAAGGTGATTTTGGGTAAAATTGAAAATTTTTTTCCCCATAATTTTAGCCTGCGGTGAAACAAAGATGGGTTTTTCGAGATTTATGCCGAGCGATTTAATAAAATATATGTGCTTATTTTAAATTCAAATGATTTATCAATAATTTCGTGTGTAAATTGAAAAAATATGTTCATGTTTTTGTGAGTATTCATATCCGCGACGTCAGTGGTTCTTTTTCAATTTGAACTTATTTAATTTCTGTAATGTTAAAATCTATTCATCGGAGATGTGTCCGAAACTTGATTCCGTCAGGTGGCCCTCTTGGCCAAAGTTCAATGACACTGGTCAGGTAGGGCTAGTAATGATTGATCTGCTCCCTTATCAACGCAGTGTCGCCCGAATGCGGCTTTCACAAAGTAGTCGTATACCATTGTCTGTGACCATGAGGGCGTGTGTTAATGCCATCAGTAACTAGGTTAACTTGCAAACAAGGTCTGGGTAACTAAAGTGTATATACTACATGATGCCTAATTTCAGTTCCATGCATGGCTCAATCAATAATGTTATGCATGGCACATTTTCGTGATGATATAATTAAAATAATTCCACAAAACTAATTTTAGTGTACTTTATAGCAGTCTATGGGGGAAGCCTATTTTCAGTAGTTGACAGATAACTACTGACATGATGATGATGATGAATTTCAGTGAACGCATAATAAAATGAGAAAATTATTATTTTTTTGATTCATATAATAACGTTACACAATATATACTGTAGTTTTATATTATTTATTATTACGTTTATTCTACTTGTTACAGAGTGTTCAGCAGGGAAATAGTGCAATTACTCATATGTAAGTATATTTTTTATTTATTTCGTTCGTATTTTTGCGTGATTGCTTGAATTGAACAATAGATACAAATATAAATAATTAGCGACCCGCTCCGGCTTCGCACGGGTGCAATGCTGACATTAAATAGCGCCGCAGGCCCTTCATTACATTAGGAATCTCTAAAATTATCAGTGTTTCTCTATTATATTATGCATGTATTATGCATATAAAACTTCCTCTTGAATCACTCTATCTATAAAAAAAACCGCATCAAATCCGGGAATAGACTTTGTTTTATACTGTGTAGTGACAATAATATTTTAAATAGAAAGGTATATATATGTTACCATTACAGAGCAGACAGAGAAAACTGGTGTAAAGATTGATTTATAGATAATAGTTTTGAGTATCATCTTTACTATCATAACGTCCTTTGACTATCCACTACTGAACATAGGTCTCTTCCTTCATAGACTGCCCATTGGGGGTTTATAGGTAGTTGCCACGCTTGGCAGGCGGGTTGGCAACCGCAGTTAGGCTTTGGTGATGTTTGATGATGCTACTGCCCATCCCTTGATCATTAAATTCCCGTAGTCCTCTCTTACAATACTTACGGGAAAGAAAAGGAACGGGTGGTCCATTCTATGCCGGGACTTCACGGCGAAGTTGTGAGCGAATTAATATTGAAATTATTTTGAATGGATTGATACCCCCCATGCGTTGCCATTCCTGAGGACTTAGGTGTTATTTCTCTGTACCCTGTGAATTCACGCCATATCCCACCCTTCAAACCGAAACACAGCCATGCAAACACAACTGCTTCACAGTACGGTACAAACACGAATGGGACAGAGGTACCCAAGCAATCGACTTTTGTACAAAGTCTCCTTCTGGTAAATAAATAATATAAATATTTGTTAATAAATATTTCGTTATCACTTCCTAACAGAATAAAATATATTTTTTATTATACTTACCTTACCTTTATTTATATTCTATCTTCGTATTGTAATATCAACTTATATAATTCAAGAACAATAAGACTGAGATGTGATTACATTAGTTTCTATATCGCAAGGTCCAGACGGACGTACTGCAAATTGAAAAACTGACAGTGTTGTATTTGACCTTTGGTTCCCGACATCGTAATGTTGATATGGTAATTGAAAAAGTTTAATTTGACACTCGTTTGACATTCGTTTGTATTGCTCAGTACAGATTTAAATTAATTTTTTCAAAGAATACTGAGCATGACTTTAAGTGATGTAATGTCATGAGTAAAAATATACACATATACGAATATGTATGTATGTATAATATGTATTTAATGAATGAATATTTAAACCCTTAGGTTTCATCTAAATTGAATATTCTCATTCTGTGTACAGTATATAACTACTACACATACCTTATGTACTATATGATTCATGTAAGTTATTAAATAAAGCTACGTAACAAAGACGATATATTCCCTGTCATTATTTTATTGTTTTTTTTTCCAGATGGGATATACCTGCTTTACTACGGGAAATACCTAAACTGGGAGCGGTTATTGATTTAACAAATACAGCCAGATACTACAATCCAAGGGTGCGTGTAAAAATTGATTTTATTTTATTCTTTTTAGGGTTCCGTGCCTCCAATGGAAAAGTCGGAACCCTTATAGGATCGCTTCGTTGTTTGTCCGCCGGTCCGTTCGTCAGTCAAGACCTTTTTTCTTAGGAACGCACGGAGGTATCAAGTTGAAATTAAAATCATATACTCAGATCTGCAATCTTTTAAAGCACTTGAAAAATTCAAGCTTCTAAATTGACGTAAACAAAAGATACGGCCGTTTATGTTCCATTTATATTGCATTTTTTGCAATCGCATTTCGCAAATTGAATCAAAACCTATAGGGTACTTCAAGTTGACCTAGAATCATGAAATTTGGCAAGAAGTAATGTCATGTAGCACAAGTAAAGGAAAAATATCCGAAAACCGACAATTTGTAGTTATTTAAAAAAATTAAATCTGATGATTTTATACGGAACTCCCGCGTGCCCGACTCGCACTTGACCGGCTTTTTTTTTTATTTCTGTGCTAAAATTGATTGAGATTATAATATTGTGTTGACACGTAAATAGACATAACTGTATTAAAGTAATAGAATTTGAGTTTCGACTACATGTTAATATGTTCACGATTATTATTTTAAAATTAATATACATCGATACAGGACATTATGTTTAGATTGGATATAGTAGTAGTCTCAATGAATGTTTATGAAATTTGACAAACAGAGGAAGACGATTTTGTAGACGTTCCTAGTAATTGCATTTTCGTTATGTAAATAGACACAGTATGGATTGACATTAGTAGCGTAGCCTGAGACCAGTTTGGCAGTCGGTGGTTATATTTCTGCTGATGCCTTTCAAACAATGTAGACGTTTTCTTTCACATACAAACTATCTAGAGTTACTTTCATACGTGGCCCCTTGCCGCGACATACGACTCATAAACATTCCTTGGAGACTTGTTACTAATAATGAAAAATAACTACGTGTATGTGGGTATATACTCGTAAAGTACAATACGAGTATGTAGTATTGCCAACGTTATAGATTTAACACACCACCGACATGGAATTCCGAAAATCAAAATTAGATACATATTACGATAAGAAATTATATAATATAAAATATCTTCTTTTTTATATGAGTTAAATTTAAAAGCTAGTTGTCATGTATAGAAAAATTCTCTAGTCAAGATAGGAAGGCTTGGGACAAGCCAATAAAAGCGAAAAAATGCACGATTTAGTTGTTCCGACAACAGGATACTTTTACCTGTGAAGATTATAATTGTAATAGTTAAAAAATAAAAAGTTTCACACACATGAATAATTTTTTTCCCCGAAAAAGGTCACTAAATATTTTCCCAATAAACGATTTTCTACCCCTAAATTTACAATAATCCTTAAATTGGCAACCTTTACAATATGGCGTGCTTAAGGCGAGAATTATGGCTTTTAGTTGTTGGGTTAGCTGTAGGATGCTGGGTTGGCGCAGCGCGTTAGAATACTGGAAAGCAATAAAATTATGTTCAGTTTTACGATTGAAAGTCACATTTCCCACTACGATGCTTTGTTCTTACCTATGTCTGATTGGCTTGTATTCATCTTCCAGCATAATCCGGCCGTAAACTGTATTTTTATGGGGCAACTAGGTATGTGTCACACGATGTAAAATTTGAAACCGGCCAATTGTTTAATACATAACACGAGTATTCATTAATATTTGTAATACTTCCTACTTAGGTATGTGTTTATCCTGGCCTATATCTTGAGATCTTCAAAAGATGTGTAAAAAAGCCGTTGGTAAAACGAAGGTAGTGAAACTTACTTTTGCAAAATAGTCAAATTGGTTCAGTCATTATCAAGTTTTGCGCAATAAATTTAGCGATTTATATTTATTTACATGGATTAATTACATCTAAATGCTTTCTTATATTATTTCATTTAATTTGTCGAAATCGGTCGGTGTCTTGAGCATGTGTCGTTCCAATCTTCTGTCTGTCAAATTGAATTACGATTCATAAAATATATTGAATCAATAGATTAAAATTTATTAGAAATGTCTTTTAAGTCGACGAAATGCAAATCATGTTAGAATTGGAATCGCAGAATTACCATTGTGCTATAGTAATCTGATATTCTTTAAATTGTTTATTGCTTGTTCTTTGAATAATTTATTTAAGTTGGCGCCACGAGATTTTTTAGAATAGGTAAATTAATCGATATGTATAATAATAATGTAACAATGTCGCGTCTTTATTATGTTTTTAACTAATCAGCATAGATGTTATCTAAAACAATATGCCGGAAAATCCAAAACTAGAGTATATATTTCACCATTAACTGCCCTTTTTAACACGTTTGTGTAAACTTATTTTGGTATAAAGCGTTTATTAAAAAGAATTTAAAAATCTACATGATTATTATATATACTTTTTTTATACTACTATGGTGACAAACAAGCATACGGTCCGTTTGATAGTAAACAAGGTTACCGTAGCGTTGTCGATCCTTAAGACGCCTTTATATGCCCTTTTTGAAGAACCCCATGCTGTAGTCTCTAGGAAAAGCCTCGACAGGAAGTTCATTCCACAACCTCAGTGTTAGTGGGAGGCCTCGTCTTCTTCCTGCCGATGGCGAGTGGTGCGATGATGAAAGGATATTTCATCGGAATATACTTTTTGTCTCTTGTTAGAAAAAAAATATGTAATATTTATTCGATAATTAAGACTGTGATATATTGAGCATCGTGACCGTGATTATCAGATAGCGCTGTATTGAAGTTTGTATGCTTTATCTAGTCGAATTGCTTGAGCGAGTTTTGCTTACTGACAGGTGGTTGTATTCTTTGGGATTCTTTAAATTATACTCAGCTGTCATATTCGTGAACGGGCAATTTTTGTGTCCTACAAGCAACTGTTAGTACTTTTTTTTCCATAATTTATATTGCGTTTTAAGATTTTGTTATGCACAATAATGCCTTATTATACTTAAAACATTTCTCAACTACTTTTGTAAAATTTTGGTAAAGAACAACATTCGGAATTGAACACCAAAATATAAAAAAGTGTTAATTCGGTTATCAGGTTTATGTGAATAAAGTTTAGAAAATAGGTATAGTCACAACTTTAATCCATTAAGTGGTAGTCAGATTCATATGTCGACTATGAGGTGTAATACTCAAAATGCCCAAATTTTGCCTGTAATTTGTATTATATTCTATATGCTTCTGAAACAAATTATTCATTACTACAATTACTTTTTATATTTTAATAAGTATTATGAATCTGTATGTCACATTGCTAAAACATGTGACATGACGTTTTTCTAGAAATGTTTCTAGAAAACCTTCACGGCCTTAGTTAAAATGTCGGTGAAACATGTTGATTTGTACATACAAATTGGTTTATTTGGTTTACACTAATTAAAACGTTGAATAGCAAGTACAAATAGACCAGTTCAATTACCTATCTAATTTCGTCACTTCATGTTTCGGATATAATCTTATTGGAAGTTGTCATCGAGTGACACAGGGATCATTACTAGATTATTACCATTCGTTTCGACTCTTTCACGCTCTACTTACAGTTTATAATCTCAAATACATTTAATTATATTAATTATAATCATTGAAACCAGTTTCGATGTAGTTGTGTCAATCGAAATGCCTATTGATGTTGTAAGTAATGTAATTGTTTAATGTTAAAGAGCTATCTATTTAAGTGACTTAAAAAAAGGGTACAAATATTCGATATTTTTTGTCAATTTTAAACCGATTTTAATGATTTTTTTACTATGATAGAGATATTGTTATTTTGAGGATTACACGCTATTTTTGTAATAGTTACGTGTAACGTTTATAATGATTTAACATCTTAAATTATTTGCGTCAAATTTTTGAAGTTGAATACAAAAGATGTGATATACCGTATACAATATTCAGCGTTTTAATGTATGTTTATTTTATTTTATTATATATGATCAAATAAAACAAATACTCTTCCAAAGATTTAGGTCGCCGACCAAAGAATTCTATTATTCATCCACAGAAAAGTACGTTTGTCATTTCATATTTAATGTTGTCTTTGTCCTCGACATGTACAAAGTTTAGAAGAATCGTAAATACGAAGTGCTCATTCGAATAATGACTGGTTGCTTTGTTATAGGACCTACAAGAGGCTGGAGTTCTACACAAGAAAATTTTAATGCCCGGCCGCGTTATACCCCCTGAGAACAAAGTGACAGAGTAAGTCCATCTACCAGGCACGCTTTACATGCGATTAATCGCTCTCTCATGTGAATCGTCTTCACGACGCTTAGCTCACCCAAGTAGAAGATCTGTCGGTATATACACACTAGCTATTTTGGAATACTAGCTATTTTCCAGTTGAACGTTATATAATGGATTCGTGTGAGGTGACCCTTATTTATTGCGGAGATTATTGTAGAATTGTTTAAGGCCGACATTATTGTCGTATCTATTTTTGATTATTTCTGAAGGATTGTATAGCACAGGCAAATGCAAACGTAAAAAATACTTTCCAATTGATGTTTGCGTCGACTTTATAAAAATAGTTATAGTTCACTTCGAATAAGTATTATAATTATTAATGTAAATCTTCCTTGTAAATTAGTTTATCTTTTATAGAGAGACAAACTGACAGACAAATGCCGCAAAGGATGTTATTCCCGCCATTTATCTAACTCACAGAATACCGACGCTAAGTGGCCGCACTTTTAGTGCGACCACATTCCGTATGGTGAGTGAGGGAGTCCGGAGGCCCATCCTATACCCATCCCCTTCCTTATCCTAAAATCCTCCCCCAACTCCGTCCCCCCATCTTTCAATACCATGGCAGTGGAATTTAAAAAAAATAACGTACCCCAGGGAGGTACCAGCAGCCATGTTGCTGGAGAATCCTCCCTCGAGCAACCACGCTCGGGCTGCCCTGCGTATTCTGGGGGGGCAAAATTCCGCTCTATGGGACCAAGGGCAAACAGAGCAAGACTTCTGCGGCATCCCCTTTGCTCAATGTGAGCCTCTGTAATATTAGGGAAATTCATTCAAACCTGAACGCTGTCCACCACCACCTAGAAACGGCGCGGCCGGCATTGCTCTTCCTCACGGAGACACAGATATCCCCTCCTAACGAAACATCATACCTAACCTACCCGGGGTATAAGCTTGAACATTGTTTTGTTTCGCGTGCCGGTGTATGTGCGTATGTCAGAGAGGATATCTGCTGTCGACGCCTTGGGACTCTTGAAGGTACGGACCTGTCCATTCTATGGCTGCGCGTAGATTGCAATGACCATCCCCGCATCTATGCGTGCCTATACAGGTCCCACAGCGGTAACACTGAAACCGACCAACTAATTGAGCACGTCCAAATGGCTACAGATTCCCTGCTTGAGCAGATTCCTTCCGCTGAAGTCGTGATTGTTGGCGACTTTAATGCCCACCATGCCGAATGGCTTGGTTCGCGTACAACCGACTATGCGGGAAGATCTGTTCATGACTTTGCTTTGGCTTATGGTCTGACACAGCTTGTTTCCTCGCCTACGCGAATCCCTGATGTGTTGGACCATTCACCTTCACTGCTGGACCTTCTGCTGACCACCCACCCAGACAACTATGTGATCTCCGTCGAAGCCCCGCTTGGATCGTCGGATCACTGTTTGGTGCGGAGCGAAGTGCCTCTTACGAGTCCGACTCCACCTCGTTCTACGGGTAGACGTCGCATTTGGCACTACAGGTCGGCAGATTGGGATGAGATGCGGATTTTTTTCGCATCTTACCCATGGAGGCAGGTTTGCTTCACACTGGATGATCCCGACGCCATTGCCGATTCCATTGCTGATGTGGTGCTTCAGGGAATGGAATTATTTATTCCTAACTCTGTGGTGCCCGTCGGCGGGAAATCCCAGCCCTGGTATGGAGCCTCCTGTAGAACAGCATCTCGTCTGAAACAGGAGTGCTTCCTAACCTGGGCTAAAGGTGTGGCGTCGCGAGATCCTAACACCAGTGCTCTTAAAAAGAAGTATAACTCTGCTTCTAGGTCTTTCAAAAGAGTTATAGCCACAGCGAAGTCAGAGCATATTAGTAGAATTGGCAAGAGACTGGCTAGTTTGCCCTCTGGGACTCGAGCTTTCTGGTCTCTTGCCAAAGCTGCACAAGGGAATTTCTGTAAGTCATCTTTTCCACCTTTGCGCAGGGAGGATGACTCGTTGGCCCAGAACGCTAAAGAAAAGGCCGATCTTCTTGGATCCATCTTTGCGTCAAACTCGACATTGGATGACGGGGAGAAACCACCACCGACCATCACGTGTTGTAGGAGCTCTATGCCTGACATTAAATTCACGCATAGCTCAGTGCGTAGAGCACTTTTCTCCCTCGAAATCCGTAAGTCGAGTGGGCCTGATGGTATTCCTCCAATTGTGCTTAGGACGTGCGCACCAGAGTTGGCTCCGGTTCTTACGCGTCTTTTTCGGCTTAGCTACTCATCGGGCATAGTCCCAAAGTTTTGGAAGACTGCTCTGGTGCATCCGATCCCTAAAAAGGGAGATCGCTCAGATCCAGCTAACTATAGGCCCATAGCTATCACTTCCTTATTCTCGAAGGTTATGGAATCCATCATTAACCGTCAACTGCTCCGGTACCTAGAAGAGCACCGGCTGATCTGTGATCGCCAGTATGGCTTTCGACAGGGACGTTCGGCCGGTGATCTTTTAGCTTACTTAACACACCGATGGGCAGTGGCAATCGAGAGTAAGGGAGAGGCCTTAGCAGTTAGTCTGGATATTGCGAAGGCCTTTGATCGGGTGTGGCATAGAGCGCTGCTTTCAAAGCTACCTTCATTTGGGTTGCCTGCGAGACTGTGCATTTGGGTCGCCAGTTTTCTCAAGGAACGTAGCATTAAGGTCGTAGTCGACGGTGCATGCTCTGATTTAAAACCTTTGAATGCTGGTGTCCCGCAAGGCTGTGTACTATCTCCGACTCTGTTTCTTCTGCATATCAATGATATGTTACAGATAAGTAATATTCATTGCTATGCGGACGACAGTACAGGAGATACATTATATACCGGTCATGCAAAGATCTCGCGGGCACATACCGATGAGTGCCGGAATAGACTTGTGTCTGAAATCGAAACTTCACTCCATCAAGTTTCGATCTGGGGTGAACAAAATCTTGTCCAATTTAACCCCAAAAAGACACAAGTCTGCGCGTTTACCGCAAAAAAGACGCCGTTTGTCGTATCTCCTCACTTTCAGGGCACTTCCCTTGATAAAAAGTCAAGTCTAGGAATTCTGGGCGTTGATATATCTTGTGACGTCCAGTTTTGCGGTCATCTGGAGGAGAAGGCTAAGATAGCTTCCAAAAAGTTAGGAGTGCTCAATAGGGTGAGACGATATTTCATGCCAGAACACCGCCTGAAATTATATAAAGCCCAAGTCAGGCCGCATATGGAATACTGTTCTCACCTGTGGGCAGGAGCGCCACAGTACCAACTCCTTCCGTTAGACCGCATTCAAAGTCGGGCGGCTCGAATTATCGATAGTCAACGCATGTGAGCCGCAGGTGAGCCGCATGCTCGTTTGCCCCCTGTGTTGTAAAAAAAAAAAACTGTATTAAAATTACGAAAGGATAGGGATGCAATTTACTTATGGATTAAGTTATTATACCATAATAATTTTACATTCAAACATTTTATATTTTTAATTTTATTAGACGTGGGCCCCCATTTTTGGGGGTCTTTGTAACTGTATTCCACTTTGAAAACCACTGTATAAAATTTTCACTGCCAATACGTATGTGTAACGTTCCTTTACTGATTTTAATCCTAATACGGTACAGCGCAAATCAAAATCAATGTAGCTATCTATCAAAGCGGCGACTGCTCGTGTTATTGTTTTGCATTCGCGGTGGATTTTAATTTGAAGCGTCGAATTGGCGCCATTCGTAGGCCGAATATGGGTAATGTTATAAATCTTGAAGCGATGGCGTGGGCGGTTCGGCGGCGGCCTCAGGGCCGCGGTCCGGTACTCATAGGCCCTTAGTTAACGATACGGGTTTCAGTCGAAATTATGTCCGGTAGAGCGACCGGAATATTTTATACTACCAGTGTATAAGATATAGAAAAACATTGTGTTAGATGAAGAAGACTCTAAAGGCAACAAGACAAAAGATCATATCATGTCATACTGGTAGTTTGGTTTGTCTGCCAAGTTTAAATTCGTGTTAGAGCCGTCAGATATACAAGTGGCCACATAGTGGTACTCTCAGATTCAATTGAACCTGGCGTTTGTGTTCGGCGTCTGCACCCACGCATGATGGCTTTCGGAATTTGAAAGGCATTTGTCGCTGCTCGATGCGTGTCGGCTGGCGTGTAACAGTTGTCTCTCCGACTAAAACAGACTAACACTTTATTAAGTCATAAATTTTGACACTATAAAAATTTAATTCACCTCAATATTATATATAATACAAATACTGTATCTATAATAATAATAATAAAGTTTCATTAAATCAAGCTTAGAATAAGTTGTAGTACCTTTGGCTCTGTCTCAGAAACTAAGATCTATTGTAATCATAATGAATCAATATTCTGATAAACTGATCTATAAATGAGCGCTTGTTTGTGAAATTATTTGTGATTACAAATAATTTCCCCTTAAATTTATATTAGTCAAAAAGAGAGAACATTCAAGTAAATAATAATACACAATATTTATATATATATAAATCATAAATGGTAACTTTAGTTTTAAAAATAAACGTGAATCAAGCAGGAGCGTATCACGTCGCTTATTAGTTACAAAGATTGTACAACGATTAGAGTAGACTGAGAGCTAACTAAAAGATTATCTCTGTCATTTGTCTGGTCTTTTGTTAAGCGCTGCGCCCCGTCGTCTGTCTTCGCCATAAATAACTATCGGCATTTCTGAGATTGTTCGCCCCTGTTATCTCGCAGCGGGCTCGCATCTGTTTGTCAGCCATGGTTAGACAAATGTACCACCCGTAAAACTACTTAGACCTCGAGAAGTTAATGACAGGGCTATAATATTTAGTAAGTTAATAATTTAGAACTTTTATAAGGCTTGTTTTAAGTGATTGGTTTGGTTGTGCTTCTAGGTGTTTTTTTTTAAATGTGATTTGGAATGGCAAACAATCCGACGTCGGTTTGTTTGCCGGGTAATCGTTGTTTATAAATATGAACAACATGATGGATATCATAGAATATA